CTCTTATTTCTTTTCTTTCATTTTCTTCACTTTCACTCACTTCTCTTTCCTTCCCGATCTTATCATCCTCATCACCACTCAACCATGTTTTTCCCATCAACATCATCATCATCATGATTACCACCACCTTTTTCATTCGCTTTTCCCTCACAACACACAATAATCTTTTGTCGATAGGAGGCGGCGGCGGCAGTGGTTGACAGAGATGGAGGAAACGTTTAAGTTTTGTTTCCTTTTTTACTTTGGTCTTCTTTCAGCCACCTCCGCTCCACCTCTACCACAGCGAGTCGCCACACCTTTCCTCCCCCCTTTGGTGGCGACCGAACACACCCACCACATTTAACCCATTGTGTATGATCNCACATTTAACCCATTGTGTATGATCTGTTCCCTTCCTTGCTCTGCATACAAACCAGACAGACTGACTGATGTTAGTGGCTCTAAAGATGCGGAACTAGAGAAAAAGAGATAAGAAAACTTCTCTTCACACACACTTTTTCTCTTGCTGATATGATAAGCTTTTCTCTTTCCCTCCCCCACCTTTCTTTCCCTTTCCTTCCCCTTCCTTAACCGCCGCTTTTTCGTTTTAATTCGTTCGCCTTCTGTGTTAATTTAATTTAATTAAAAAATGAACTCTGCCGAAGCATATAAGAGAGGGGGGTTTGTGAGTTAAATATAATTTAATTTTGATATAAACATATCACAACACAGCGAGCGGGCGGCAAGCGCAACAACAATAACGATAACAAACAAAGTGTGAGGGGAGGGAGGGAGGAGGCAATGATCCAGTGATCCAAAGAGAAAGTGGGTAGTGCAAAACAAAGAGTTGGTTGGTTGGTTGGGTCGTCTTCTGAACAAAATGACACAGCAAAGTTGACTGATGGTGGTGACCAGTGATGCGGAGCTTGTGGATTCGCGGGTGTGGTGAACGTGTATGATGATGATGAGTGAGGGTGATGAGGCGGTGAAGGGCGGAACAAGGTAGAAGAAGCGGGCTAAAATCAGCAGCAGCTCAGGAGGCGAAGAGCACAAAGATGATGAAGAAAACGAAGAGAATGCCGAAGACCTTGATCACCAGCCACCGGTTGCTGGTCACCGACTGGAGGTACTGCAGCAGCGACTGGTGCGCCGCTTCGACGTTCATCATCGTGTCGCTGACGTTGGCGTCAATCCGGGTGATCATCTCCTCCTGCTGGTGCACCAGCGTCGTCAGCTGGCTGAAGATGGTGCCCAGCTCGACGATGGTCGACTCGATGGACTGCATCGTGTTGGCGCGCTCCTCCAGATAGGAGTTGGTCTGGTCCTCGAACTGCAGCAGTGTCTGCGTCTGAATGGTCGCAGAGTTGTTGTGCCGGTGGCCGCGGGGCTCCAGGGCTGAGCTGCTCCCGCTGCCATTGGCGTCATCCAGGTTGATCACAGTGGAGAGTGAAGAGGCGGAGCGGGACTGGTGGAGGCCGCCAGGGCCACCAGGGCCGCCGCCCGCCGACTGTGGCCGAAGGCCGCCGCCACCGCCGACGAGGGCGGCGGATGACTGCGCCATCAGCGGCGTGTTCATCGTCGGCGCATTGGTGAACTGTTCTCTCCGCTGCTTCTGCTTCTTCATGTTCTGGACAAAGAGGAAAAGCCGTTTTAGAAGCTAATAAACCAAAACACAGATAACCTCCTCATTATCTCCTACCTGAGTCCGCAGCTCCAAGGTGCTCTTGAAGCTGCTGCTGATGGAGGCGAGCTGCTGCTGCAGCGTCAACACGACGTTCTTCGTATGTGAGCGGACATTGGAACCGCCCGAATTGCGCGCCTGCATCGACTCCAGCTGCAGCTGCCGGAGCTGTTCGATCTGCTGATTGAGCGAGGTGATGTCCTGCTTGACGATGTACACCAGCTCGTTCAGCTCCCGGCTGCTCTCCTCGTCGTCGAAGATGGTCTTCTTCTGCGCCAGCAGGTTGATCTTCTCCAGCTTCTGGTAGGTCAGGTAGAGGTCCCGGGCGATGGACCGCGAGCCGCCCATGAAGCGGCCAAATTGCAGGTATTGAGACGACTGCGGATTGTTCAGCGGCGAATTCAGCTTGCTCGCAGCGGCGTTCCCACCACCGCCGCCGCTGTCGCCGCCCACCACGCCGGCACCCTTGCGAGCTCGAAGTTCGGTGGGCAGCGAGCCGTTGGCCTGAGCGGCGAGGAACTGCGGCCGCCCGGCCATCGACTTCACCGTGGCCATGAACTCCGACGTCCGGTCTCGAACCATGGTGGAGAAAGAGGTGGTGGTGGAGGTGGTGAGGTGAAGGAGGTGGAGGTGATGAGGGTGATGATCAGGTGATTGCTTGTTTGGTGATGGTTGTTGTGGTGGTGGTGGTGGTGGTGAATCACCCAAACAACAATCTGCTCACTTTAAAGTGGTGTGAGCCTGGTGTGCAACGACGATGCTACCGAGCTACCGTTTTCCACCTTTTAGCCTATGCTGGATCCATCGTTGTTTGCCTGGGCTTGGGGTGATAAAAAACGAGTAATTGTTTGAGGACAAGTGGACACAAAAATAAAGACGGACTGATGACAAAAAATCTTGTTTCGTTGACGTAGCATCAAGCGCAGCTGAGCCACTGTGGAAATAGTGGAGAACGAAAGATGCTCAAAATAGCCTGAAAAGCAAAACATTGGCGAAAAGAAGTTTTTTCCCGTAGACTTGTTGACACCAATCAATGCGCCCAAACCATGGCCGATTCAGGCGGAACCAGCAAACGCCCACTGGATCATCAGGCCATCAGCAGCAGCTTGGTATTTAAGAAACCACGAGCTCCTGATCTCCATGATCAGCAAACCTTTGCCACCGTTGCCGAAGGCGGTGGCGGTGAAGGTTCCTCTTCGAAGCCGGCTCACCGTCGTCCGGTCGGTTTTCAGTCTCTGGACGCGTACACCCGCCACAAACTGCTGGTCAACTACTACCAGCTGACCTACCCGGGCCAGGCGAGGCAGACGATGGCCCGCGACCGGAGCCGCGACAAGACCGACTTTGAGGTGCTGCTGGAGAACCACCGCTTCGTCTGGTCGGAGGAGGACCTCAACTCGGCGACGCTCACCTGGGGCCAGCGAGTGGCAAAGAAGTACTACGACAAGCTCTTCAAGGAGTACTGCATCATCGACCTGACGAGGTACAAGGAGAACCGGTTCGGCATGCGCTGGCGATCAGAGGCCGAGGTTCTGAGCGGCAAGGGCCAGTTCAGCTGCGGCTCAAAGCACTGCTCCGCCGCCGGCATGAACCTCACCAGTTGGGAGGTGAAGTTCGCCTACGAGGAGCAGGGCGAGAAGAAGCTGACCTTCATCAAGGTCCGCCTGTGCACCTTCTGCTCCGACAAGCTGAACTACGTCTCGGTGAAACGGAAGGCGCCGAAGAAAACCAGCAAATCGAAACGCTTCAAAAAGCTGCAAAAGGAACTGGAACACGCCCACCGAGACAGTGCCGGTGCAGATAATGCAAGCACCGGAATTCAAATTAAAGAGGAGATTCTCACTGACGCTGAAGACGAGAATCCAGCTCGAACAAATCGTCCATCATCATCTTCAGCAGCAGCAACAGGAGCAGCACCTAACCCCCTAGCCGATCAAAACTACCAGGACCTGATTGACCAGATATGGAGGCAGCCAGTCAAACTGGAGCCCGAAGAGACGGAGACCACACTGGAAGAGGAGGTTGACGACTATCTCAATTTGCTCTTTGAGTGAACGGCGACAATGATGATGACAATGATGATGATGATGAGTCAGTCAGATCACCCACTATTTCATCGCTTATCATCCCCGCGACCTTGGCATCAAATCTCCCCCTTTCTCTTATCATCATCGACGACGACAATAACAACAACATAAACCTTCTTCGCCAAAGCAGGAGCTTACCGCTCGAGCTCAGCAGCTCCACGTGTTGCTCAGCAGCTAGCAGCTCCAAATATCTCTTCTTTTTTCCAATTCACGCTACACTCACCGGGCGATTGCATTGTATTTGCGTCACCGACGTCGTCGTCGTCATTGCTTCTCTGACACACACCCTATGTCATAGCTTCGGTATGTATAGTGTTGGTAATTCTCATTTCTGATGAAATATACTGACGAGAAAATCCTTTTGTCCTTAAGTTCAAAGTTCCCAGTCAGCTGATTATTCTGGGCGCCACACGCTGCAGAATCGGTAACGGTAACGCTACGCTTCGTAACGTCTACTGCGACGGGCTGA